TATTTTATTAAATTATTTAAAAAATAGTATTTACTCTTTAATTTTCTAGGCAAATTTGCCTGGAATACAGTTTAAGGGATAGTGATTAAACAAGATTAAAAATTCAGTCAAATCATTTGTAATAAACTTGTCAAAAAAGTATAATAATACTAAATAGATATAATCAAAAAAAAACAACTTAGTAAAAAATAATAAATATAATTAGAAAAAGCTATAGAAAAAAATAGAAGTGAATAAACTGCTTTTTATTAAAAAATAGCAGAAATTTGATTATACAAGTCAAGTATTTAAACTATATTTTTCTAACTTTAAGTAAATTAAGAAAATAAAAGCCTAAATTATACAAAAGTAATCACAGTATATTATATGAAGAGAATTATTTAGAAGATTTTAGCTAAATAATAAGCTACTTAGTCTTACAAAAATTATTGGAAAAAGTCAAAGAAGCAGTAGTCAAAGGCATCAAAAAAGTATAAGATAAAAAAATCTTATTCTTTGACAAAAAGAGATAGAAAAAATTCTCTTCCTATAAAGAAAAAAAAATTACTACAGAAGAAAAAAAAGATTTCATAGTAGGTCATGAGAAAAAAAAAGTAGTAAAAAGGCTGCAAATTTTGATAACAAAGAAAGAAGAAATAAAGAAATAGATAAATAGTATTTACTTTATTATGCAAAGAAATTTTATAGAAATTATATGAAGCTATCATTACAAAAAAGTAAATAAATAAGAAAAAGAAAGAGAAATTATAACTAAAAAAAAAGTAATTCAATGAAGAAAAAACAGGTAATAAAAACTTTGACAAATAAGAAAAGAAAAAGACTTTTGTCAAAAAAGAAAAAAGAAAAAGAAAAAAAAAAGTTTGAATAAATAAAATAGTAAATAAAGTAGTATCTGAAGCAATAAAAAAAGAGAAAATAAATTAGTAGAGTTTTCTTTGAATTAGTCAGACAATTTGTTCTAACTTTAAAGTTATTATAACTAAGTACTTTAATAGTAGCTAGATAATATTAGATTTAGAAAATTAAATAAATTATATAATCATATATAACTTGGTTACAACTATAGTTAACAACTTAATAAAGTTTATGATATAACTATCAAAGAAAAAAAAATTAAATAAAAAAAATAAGACTTTAGTATATTTCTCTTAAAATTTGTTATAAAAAGTTTTTTTTTTATCTTTAAATTAGATATAAATTATCTTTTTACCTCTTTTACTTCTGTAAATAAATAATTAGTTTTAAATAAAAAATAACTTAATAATATAAATTTATTATAATAAACTTATCTGTTACTATACTTATATAATATATTTAATTGCTTTACCTTGCTAAATTATTTCTGTTTTATTAATCTATTAAGTGTTATTATATAAAAGCTCAAAAAAATAAATAACTAACTTATTATTTTGCTTTCTTATAATAGATTAGTAATTAATATTAGTATAGTAAACTATTTAAATAAAATAATAATTAAAGTTGTATATATAGTTAGTTATATATTTATTATATAATCTTAAAATAGAAGAAGATATTTTATTATACTTTAAAGACCAAATTAATAAAATATAATTAGCTAAAAAGCTTTTTTAATAATAAAAAAAAAAAATTCTATTAATATTTAATTATGAATTAAAAATTTTAAAATAATATTATTTCAAAAATACTATTATAAATAAATATTTATAATAATAATAATAATAAGTTTATACAAATCAATATTTAATTAATTAAAAGCTTTAAATTGCACTATTACAATTATTTGTTTTTTTTTTAGTTAGCATATATCTATAGTTTCTGCAAAAGTAATATTAATATTAATTATCTTGTCAACTATTTGCTACAAAAGCATAGTATTTTTAATTACAAAGTTTAGACTATAAAGAGCTAATTCTAATATTAAACATTATAGAAAATAATACTTTTATAATACCTTGGTACCTAATATTTTTATAATCAATTAGACGATTAAATAATATACAAGGTTTTAAGTAAATAAATTTTTATATTAGAACTAAAGCGAGAGAATTTTTTTTAGTAAAAATGCATGATTTTCATATACACAAATACTATTATTTGATTGGCTAATTGATGTAGATCTGGTTATAAATAATACTAATCTAAAAAGAAAGATTTAGTTTTAAAGCTAACATAAAAACTTATAATAAAATTTGTTCTATGATATGACAAAAAATACTTTTTCAAGCGAATAGTTTTATGTTTGTGTGTAAAAAAGCTAATTCATTACAAACCTTTGCTTCTTAATTCGAACACATATAGTGATAACAATATAAAATTCCTGCTAATAAAATGTTAAAAGATTTTAAATTAAATTAAAATCATTGCTTCATTTTTTCGCCTTTTGCAATTATTTGCCACAAAAATCTCATAAAAAAATAGTTAATACGCGAGATAAATCGATTTTTTCAAATGTCGATTTTACTAGTAAATACTAGTAAATATTTTATTTTTGCTATGTACAAAATCTTAATAGTAAAATTACTAATGCATCACACATAACTTTTATTAATAAGTACATTAATACCCCAAAGCTACGTATGCTGGTGAGTTCTTTACCTTATTTAGCAATAAAAATCAAACAATAACTACTACGTATATGGAGAGCTCGAATGCTACGTTAATTTACGTTCTTAACCAAACTGGGCAAGCAAAATCATAATCATATAATCTAATATAAACCAATGAAAAAAAATTAATATTACGTAAAATCAGATTTGGCCGAAATCTCAATTGATATACAGGGTAACTGATAAAAGCAGGAGATACGTACGTACAAATACAGCCAGTATATGTCTAAAGATAGTTATTAAAAAATAATTCAAAGACTACTATTCTTAATAAATATAATTTCTGTTGATACCTCTGGTGCCGTATCACTTTTGGCTAACTTGCTGTTCTCTTCTCATTTTTCTATCGGTATCTTATTCATTACGTTTTTAAAGCTTAATGCATTCATTACTATACGAAAATTAGTGCACATTTCCATAAAAGGAATTGTCTACCAAAAATCAAATTTTGCTTGTAACGTTAAGTGATCGATTAGCTAACACAAGGCTAATTCCGGATTAACTTAATCTCATATTATATACAAATAAAGCAAAAAAAAATTGAATGCATCACTAAAATTTCGTGGTTAATTAATGTAACAAATAAAATATACATGCATAAGTAGGTACATAAAAGACTTGATGATGATGCTTTACTCTTCTTACATGTTAATTTTTATAAAATGGTTTATTATAAACAATCTCGATTAATTTGCATTTTTATACTCCTGTTTCTTATAACTAAAGGCATCGATGCAGCACAAAATTTACCCCCTGGACAATGCGTGCAAAACTATGTTAGTGGAACGGACTATTTCCCTTCCAAAGTTTCCGGTAATTAATCTTTATAGTAATCAGAGAAGATAAAAATCATTACGCTGAAATAACTTATTAATTACTCACTTTAATTGTTTTTTTTATAATTTGTTTAATGTAAAATAGTCACTACAGCCACTTTATTTACCATAAATTATAATAATAACTATAAACTTGTCACAAACACTGATACTAAAGAAAATTTTGCACTTGTTCAATGTGGAACTCCTGTTCCAACTAATTTACCAGCCGGCACAAAGATTTTTAATATATCTCTTAATAATGTTGCTATCTTGGATACTTCAGTTGTACCTTTTCTTGAAGTAAGAGAATTATATATTTTTTTTATTAATTGTAAATATTCATTCGATTAATAATTTTTTTCGATGAACTTTTCAGGTCCTTGGTCTTAGATCCAATATAGCTGCTCTGGATCCCACTTCTGTAACCTCACCTTGTCTTCAGCTTCTTAGTGCTAATTCTAGTGTGGTGACTATTTCTATGACTAACACAACATTAGCAACTGAACAATTAACAAAGGTTGACTCTGTATTCAATTCAATGGTCGATTTAACAAATCCAAAAGCAATTAGCATTTCTGCTTCCTCTGATCCTGGACCACTTAACAGAGCAGAGTGGTTGAAATTTTATTCAGCTTTTTTCAATCTTGAAGATAAAGCAAACACGATTTATAATCAAATAAGCGACAACTACAATTGTTTAAAATCATTAAGCAAGACCAACAATCCTCCTACCGTGGCTTGGGTTTCCTACAATGCACCATCATCTTTTAATAATAATACTGCATCATGGACAATAAATGATGCGATATACAAAAAGATTTATACTGAAAATGCTGGTGGCTCTTACTTTAATACTACCCCTCATTTATATTCTACAAGCGCCAGTTTTCTTTCCGCTATTGCGAATGTTGACATTTTAATTGATGAAACACTTACTGCTCTCAATATTACTGAAGTTTACACAAACTATAATTTAAATTCTAATGATATTTACAAGTTTGTTAAAAATCAAGCTATTTACAGAGAAGATGGTTTAATTAGTCCAACTGATGGAAGAGATTGGTTTGAAAATGCTATTTTAATGGCAGATGAGGTTTTAGAGGATATGATGAATATAGTTAATCCTAATTTACCTACATCGAGCTATAAGAGAATCTGGCTAAGAAACGTTGCAAAGGGCGAAACTGTAAAAACTAAACGTGACAGTGATTGCTCCAATGTATCAGCTCCTTTAACGGTATGTTTATTATTATAACATTTATTCTAATTATAATTTATTCTAATTATAATTTATTCTAATTATAATTATAATTTATCCATTATGATTTGTTTAGGACGATGCGGTTCAATGTTCTTCACTCAAAAGTAGTAAAAGTAAAGCTGCGAACAACTCTCCTAATTCATCAATTTTCTTATTACTATTTACTGTTTTTGCCTTTATCAACTTAATTACAACATAAATATTGATACGTAATAATTTATAAATATTGTACAAATTAACTCACAACAATGTAAAGGATAATTTCTTTGATTGAATTATCTAGTTTGACAATTCCGTATGAGAGATTTTTTTTAATTTAAATGTTAATATATTATTTATTGTAAAGGACCAATGTGAGGTAATATATAAAGTAATAATATAAATTAAGAAATTTTATTTTTCTGTGTTTTCTGTGGAATCCTTTCTTAACTCGAAAAATAATTATAATTCAATAAAATTACTTTCTCATTCAATATATTACAAAAACCTTCGATAGTTTTCGATATATCCTTATTAATAGTTGAATGAATATCATTATTAGTATAGATCCTTAAAGAGAATAAATTATTTGTGGAGGTAATATGTCTATAAAGAGTTTAACTAACTTTCCTGTTGACCGATTTTTTAAAATAGTTAAATCTCGAACTCTATATCAATATTAGTTTAGCACATGTAGCTAATTTTTTTTCTTGTTTCACCAATGTTAATAATTATTAATTCTAAATGCAGGTTGCGTTTTTAACTAACTAAATATTTGATTATTCGTAACAAAGTTTAAACGTATTATTGTTTTGATTACACGAAATAACATAGTACGAGATCGTAATTAACCATGTGATTTTAAGTCCCATATATGGAAGATAACTTTGTCACAGAAAAGTCAGATGGCGTTTGTAATATATGGGTGGGATAATCTGTAACTCTGATGATTCGTAATGTTCTGTGGTACTCGCGGACACCTCCGAGGTGTTTGCCAAAATCTCGTTATATTAAAAGAAAAAATATGTAAAGAAAATATGTAAAATAGATTGATGAGAAGATGAGAATATAAAAGCTATAAACAGAATTTCGGAAATAAAAGAAAAACTAGACCAATAAGGTTGTGTGAAATGTAGTAGCAATGCCCTGCACTGGTAGAAAAGTGGTATTTTTTACAAGATAATATGTTATTGAAATATGATAATTATATTTAATTCTTGATCCGCATAAGAACCAGTGAAACAACATAGTAAATAGTGGAGAAAGTTACTATTGTTTTTGATATATGCTTGGAATCTGACGTTTCCCAAAGGAAAACTTTTTGCTTTACTAAGTAAACCGTTCTTTGACTTCTAAATAAAGTTGTATAGGAGAGTTTTGCAATTATAATTATGGTTGAAA